AGGTGCCCGACAAAGCTCGATGACCCTGGACACGGTTTAAATGTGGTCCATGCAACAAAATCCTTTTCGAAATCCTGCTTGCTCGACTGGTTGCGCCTCATCCAATGTCCCTGATATACGCGAAAGGATAATCTTCGTGAAGAGCTTGTAGAGTACACTTAACAAGCATATGGGACGATAGTTACGAAGATCCCTTCGGTCTACTTTCTTGGGCAGACCGTGCGAGACGTCCTCCACTGGTCTAGGATTTTTTTCTTTTGAAGGCGGCCTGTCATACGTTCTGCGAGAAGTGCATCTAAATTGTGGCCTCCAGCTATAAGAAAGTCGGTTGTGATATTATCGGGTGCTGGAACTGTGCCTCTTTTCATGCTTTCTATCGCAACTCGAACCTCCGACGGAAGAATTCCAGGTGGTTTTTCTCCAGCGGGCATATTAGGCCCGGGACGGGAATTGTGGAACGGAAAAGGTTGGTGTAGAACGTTTCCGCTATTAAGTCCATATCACGGCGAAAAGTTTTGGCGATCCCATTTTCGTTTATCAGGGTTGACCGCGAAACATTATAATCACACAACTCCCGACGGCATTTTTTCAACTTTCTTCTTTTCTACTGATTCCAGTATATTCTTCTGCTTTTACCGTTGTAGATCTTTCTGCAAAGCCCTTCTGCAAGCGGCTATTTATTACTAGCCATGTTAAACGTGTTGTAGTAGGATCAAGCTTCAGTTTCCTTCTCTTTTCGAGCAACTCCTCAGTAGTGATGGAGATGCGGTCCGATCATCTTGCTTGAGAAACTGAGGCGAATTCGGCACAGCTTTTCAGTCCTTCGACAAGCAGCTCGTGGTCTTCGGTCAGGTCTTCTTTAATCTGCCAGTCAGATTTGGACAGGACTTCGTTCAGAATGTTCTTCTCGTATACAGCTAAACTTTTTCCTCGTGGTCGATGAAGAGAGTTCTTACCCAGCTTGCGGCTGAATCGAATCGTCGCACAAAGAAGGCGGTGATCGGAACCAGTAGAGAATGATGGGACTACTAATGTGTCAAGTAGGCACCATCTTCTGTTTGTCAGAATATGGTGGATCTCCGCATGAGTCATACCATTGGGAGACTCCCATGTCCAGCGGCGGCTTTCTTTCCTCTGGAAAAACGAGTTTCCTTGGAAGAGACGTGCTGCTGACAGGAGCCCTGCGAGATGGTTCCCAATCTCATTTCTTTCTCCTAATCCAAAATTTCCGATCCATTATTCGCTCTCGTTGGCCTTTCCTATTCTGGCGTTGAAGTCTGCAGCAACAAATTTATGATATGCTTTACCATTGCGGATGGCTTCCTCCAACTGATAGTAGAACGCATTTAATTCATACTCATTAGCTGCGTCGGTCGGTGAGTAGTAGTTGATGATAGTGATCTTCTTATGATGCGACAGTTGAAGACAGAGGACGGTTATGCGAGACGAAAGGATCACGTGTGAGTCGACGAGGTGGACAATGGACCTGTGGACGACAAAGCCTACGCCACCGACATTTCGTGACGGTACTTTTTCTCCACGGATCACAAGGTTCCCGTTGTTCAGTTGGCGTATGTCGGCCTTCTTGATTTTTGTTTCTTGTAATGCGATCACAAGAAATTTAATGCGATCTGCAGCTACAAGAGCGTAAAGGTCGGCGTCTGTGGAGAGGTCAATGAGTGTGGAAGCAACGCTTCGTGAACATGAACATGTCGTTGAGTGCATAGAGTGGGCTCCGGACACAGCACTTGCAACCATCAGGACAGAAGCGGGCCATAAAGCGAACGGCGACTTTGGTGCCGGTCCGACGCACGTCGTTGTAAGTGGATCAAGAGATAAGACAATTGAGGTTTGGGATGCGTTGATGGGTACCGTCATGTTCTCGCTGATCGGCCACGACAACTCGGTTTGCGGGTTGCATTTTCATCCCCGTGGAAGTTTCATGTCTCTGTCGCCGATGATAAGAAGTTACGAGTATTGCATGTAGCGCAAAGACGCTGTGCCAAGACGATTGAGCAGAAGAAACGCCAACGAATTTTCAAAACGGCGATTTCTTTGGCGGTCATCCAACTCCTGCGGCGTTAATTTGTCGTACGACCTGGACTTCCTAACGATCTTCAGATCCTCTTAAAGAGTTGACGTGTTTATAGGAAGGTCTCCTGCACGTGGGAATTGTGTATCATGTATATTATATGTACAGAAATCATGAAGCTAATTGTGTGTATGTCCAGCTGCAATGGCAGATTCCGGACAGACAGCTTTGAATTTTTCTTGCCAAAAACGTCAAAATCAACAGGCTTCATTCGCCTATACTCAAACGGTCTATAATCCAGAATGTTTAGAAAGGACGCTTACAAATAGCCAGCCAAGGTTCAGCCGTCACTCCAAGCTGCTTAGATCTGGACGGAGTACTTATAAAGCACACAGATTTCGGATATTTCTTTCAAAAAGAGGGCTGCGAAACCCGGGGCTCCCATTACAGGCTAAGAAATTCTGAATTGTTTCCTCGCTTAACTGTTACCTAAGAATTTCCGTGGCACTTTATAACATTCAGTTTGGCACTGTTGTCTACAACGGTAATAAAAGTCACTACTATCACTATTGAAGACTGTGAGCCCTAAACGGAGATAGAAACTGAGGAAGTGATGAAAAACAAAGTGTGGACTCTCAAAAGCTGTTAATATTTATAACTTTAAACATATTACACATAACGAATTAACGATAAAGCGCTAAATGCATATTCGCCCGTTTACCTCTATTTCTTCAAAGCATGTCGTTTATTTGAACTATTTTCTTCAAGGCTTGTCATACACAATGGACTTACGATTTTGGTGTGGGTTAAGCTTATCCTAAAAGATTTCCCAGCTTTATGAATGTAATGCTTATTAAACGCTGCACATATATAAATATTGTTATTATGACTTCTTTGCTGTCATTTTTATTATTACATGACCCCTTCCTCATACCTACTATGAAGATCCCAAGAGCTCTTGGGTTCGTACTCCATATTTCATCGTCCACAGTGATCCTCGAATATGTCACATCTTGCTTCTACTGCTGGTTGAAAATTTTATTTCTTTTTATGAATGTCGTAGAAAGCTGATGGAGTCGATTCTTCTTAAAATCTAAGGAGATTGACCAGCTAAGACGCTCACAAGTGGACTGGAGGAGAGCGTAGGGAGGATGTTCGAACCACCGATTTGTTTCCTGACTGCATCACTAAGCACTTCGCTAGCCTACCCTCTATTGATAGCACATGTTATATTGTTAAATATTGCATATTTGTGTCAATACATAAGCGCGAGTATGCAATACATTAAATTCATATCATATATCACTCATGAATACATATTCACTGCATATTTCACCTATGCAATAATGTATAGGAATCCACGGATTTATAAACTCAGTGTTTTTTATCTACTTAGAAAAACCTATTATCGATTTTTCGACTCCAGAAGGATGGAATGCTTGATGCGCCTGGGACATAACCAGCGATCATGTGGGTATTGCAGGATATCTCTAACTGCTGCGTTACGCGGCTCAAAGTTAAAAGTTAGCTGAGGTTCTGTGGGAAATTTGCACATTCATTACGCAGTCCGAGTCCTGAAATTACGAAACCTGCTTCATTCATTGTGAAGGAGAGGGTTGTTTCCGTTAATGAGTGGCTTCATATGTCTTACATAGTACAGCGTGGTTTTCTATGTTGTATCGAGGAATACCTGGATTTTTTCTATTCTTCCATGCAAAAGCTGGGTCTGGAGGGTTTAGATGTTTAGGAGGAGAAACATGTTAAGAGTAACATACTTCCAAATGAAAATCCACCGGATTCCACTTCAATAACAAGAAATGATGTTGAAGTGAAATATCAGGACTATCATAAGTGATAGAAAACCGCAAACGAGAAAAATACCACAAACTGTTTTTTAACCGATCGAGATTATTTGCGGTTGTGAAGAACATGACAGTGCTTTGAAATGAAAAGTTTTTATTATGAATACACAACAGCGGTCACCTCATATGTTCAACATGTTTCACAAACTTTGAGAACACATTGAGCACCAAATATGAAAATATGGGCTAGTCTGTGATCACAATTCTCAATTAACAGTATATTCTCTGAAGGAAGAGAAATTGAAGGGTAAAAATACTCAAGTTAGTGAGAAAATGATCAGTTTTTAATTGTGAACAGTTCTGTCATCTTGTCATAGGGTTAAATCTGCTAGTAAACAACGCCTTCTGATAATTATACATCTTGAGCTCACTGTAGTTATAAAAGGTACTATGAGTAATTACCGCCACTGACTTCTTATTAATCTGTGAGTGTTTGATGCAGTAGAATAAGACTTTCAAATGCGTGAAACTCTGTTCGATCTAGTGATGGAACCAAATGTGAACGAAAGCACACGTACAACATTTTCTCTCACATGTCACCTGAATTCATGATTGAACGACGTTAGCGGGATCGACATATAGAGTGAGATATTTTGTCAATCAGTTAGAATTCTCTGATTCGTTTGTTGGTTGTTTTAAAACATGCTCACAGAAACAGTGTCTTTGCAGAAATCCAAACAAAGTCTCCATTTCACCAAGGTCAGAAAATGGTTGCAGAGTTGTATGGCAAAAGAAATAACACTTGGTTACATCAGCACGCAATTCATTGTATAAGCCAAAAATGTACTCAATCACTACTAGTATGCAATGAATGAAGTCGGAAGCATTGCACACTCCTTAGTGATTGATCAACACCGAACGCTGTATGCTTAACACTTTAAATGAAGTCTTCTGAATTAGGCTGCATTATCCTAGTCCTATCATTCCATGATGCCGCAAACAAACTCCTATCATTCTATGATAACGCAAGCAAACAAGTCTAATATCATTATCATTATCACAATCCAAACAGTTATTGTAAACGTAAACAATGTGGGTATAAAAGGGCCATGGTGTGGTATGAATCATCATTCTCTTGCTTCGACTTCTGGCGACAGGACCAAGAAATGGGCGACAAATCGTGCTATATGGGAGCTGGAGGTTACTCAGGCTACATGGGATCCGGAACAGGTGGTGGCTCGTATACCAGAGAAGAGTATGCAGGAAACACTGGGTCAACTGGTGGATCATCACGTGAGTAATTTAAAATCCTTACTGAGGTGCCATTTCATGATCACACTTGACTAGTTCTGCGATTTGGAACGCACAAACAAGGGCCCGTTGCGCAAACCCCAATATGCACCTCGTATTTCGCCTGTTGAACGAAATATTTCCTTTGTAGACCATTTGAAGTCACATTTAACTAAGCTTTCGATGATGGTAATTCAATCTTTTGGCGGTGATTCTGAACCAAGCGTCTTGGTTTATTCTCAATTTTAGTGACTAGGACGCGATGAGTAGCGCTGTTACATGCCACCCAAAAAACACCACCCTGCCACCTCCCTCCCGTTACCATAAAGCGGAAAGTAATTGAAGAATACTATATAAAAAAGTGTGTTCGTATTTGCCTTTTGAACGTCTCAGTAGTGGGGGAGGGGGTCGAAGTCTGTAAGGAGGTAAATGGTCCACAACGATTCCTCGAGAAAAACAGGTATATCATGCAACTACGACTGTTGCCTATGCTTAAGCTACTCATAATAGAGGGGTATATTATCAAAGACTTCCACTACCAAGTTTCATTTTCAATATATTTCAAATCATTTCAGCGCCACCGAAGCCGCAGAGCAACTATGCATCTAACGTCTCCGGCAGCGACAACCAGGCGTCGGCCTACTTCGGACCCAAATGATCACTCTCCTCGATGCAATAAAAATGCTGCTGATATTTCTGATCTTTGGGTCATGAATGAAGCTGTGCGGAGAAAGCCTGTTTCTGGGGAGGCGTGTGCCAGCGTTTGCCTAGGGGAAGGGATTAGTTACGCCGGTATACAGTACCATAGACGAAGTAAGGGCCTTGAAATAGGCGTGGGTATCCTAAGGATCCTCCAATCGGTTAGTCGCGAAGTTAAGTGGCATGTTTCCATGTAGTCTGTAAGAGGTTAAACGTTGACGAAAACCACTACATCGCATGAATACAGGGCAACAAAATGTCAGCAAAATTACACACTATGGTTACGAAGCGATGAACATCAGCGAATTGCTTCTTCATCGATGTGATTTACTGTATTGGATGTTAGAAGTGGTCGTCAGTTAACACTCTTATAACCTTCCACTAGTGTCCTCAGAATAGTTTTCAAAAGCATTTGGTTTATAATCTGAAGGTTCTGTAATTTACCAAATCACTACAACGACCGTAGGCTTGCTTCGGCTGAGTGTGTTCGTGTCAAAAACATGCGTGGAACTTAATTCTGATCGGTTTATTGACTGATATCTTTGTTCATCGTATATTTGTCGAGCAAACGCGAGGTGTTATTATTCTTATATATATATATATATATATATATATATATATATATATATATATATGTATATAAGAATAACACCGCGTTTGCTCAACAAAAATACGAAGAATTACTTGATCAATGCCGAGGTTAATAGAAAGTCGGTCGTAGGAGTTACTGCATGATATCTTTGTCTCTAGTTATCAATACCCGGAACTATTGGCATTTTGACGGGCCATTTAGAGGTACAGATGGATTCTAGCAATATATCCCACATGAAAGGCACGAAGGTGGAATCAATGCTTTCAGGTACATATTGAGAGAGAGAGAGAGAGAGCAAGAGAGAGAGAGATGTGGCCGTAATAACAGTGCTGGCACGAACTGACGATTTGTTGAATCAAGGAAAACATTGGTACATAAATTATCATACGTGTCTTCTTGGCAGAAAGATTGCTAATCTGGAAGAATGGCTTAATCAGCGGAACCAAATGAGAGAATAAGTGAAAGCTCAGTAGCACTAGTGGCGTTTCAAAACATTCATTACATAAAACAAAAAATAAGCAAATAATAAGTCCTCCCATGCATCCAACCATGGAACAATCGGAAAGTAAGAATAGCTCTATAGTATTTGTTTTTAAAGGAGCCGTCGACCGAGGCAATGTACAAAAGTCGCGGTTGTTCACCCGTGCATATAGTAGACAGTGACTACGTGGAGCAAGTATCACTTACATAAACAACTGGAAAGAAAGATTCGCGAGAAATGTTGAAAAGAAAGACTTAAACTAACTAGTTCCTTTCTCGATTATTAAAAAAGAACATAGTAATTCCCTTTGCCAGAAAAACGACACACTGTCCTCTGCGTTTTACCTTTTTCATAAGCATTCTCGAGCACTAACCGATCGAAGGCGACACTCAACACTATAAATCTAAACCTTTGAAGCGGAAAACAACGTTAGAAAACGAAAATAACTTAGATAAACGAACAAAGAGAACGTCAAGAAATAAGATA